GACTTATTTTACGGGTTCCGAAAGCAACGTTAGACATTCTGGGGGCGCTGAATGTGAAAACTGGTCAGTGTTCATGATGACAGGAACTATTGATCCCTTAGATGTTGAATATTCTCTTCAGTTTTCTTTGCTGAGGGTCTTGGATAAATACATTGAGAACATCCTCCAACAAACGAGCCCGTGCTGTTCTTCGCTGTAGCAAGCTGAGGCCAGCTTGAACGATTCCATGAAGTGTTTTTGTTCACATCGATCGATCGATATATCCACGCTGTATTGATCTGTTGTATACATTGTAGCCGAGCCAGGATTTCGACGTCGCACTTGAAGATCAAGAAGTCACTTTGGCTGCATTTAACATTTCCTGGCATGCAGCCATCGTCAGCCATCAACACCTTCCCATGATGTGTGATCTCCTGAGGTTTAACTTGGACGTGGTGTGCGTGGGGTCTGGGGGGGGGGGGTCCTTGCGAACAAAGACTCTTATATTAACGGCTTTTGTTTCAAATGCTGTTGGCGGAGTAGGGTATAAATTGGCCACCGTCCGCGATCTCATGCCTTTTCCCCGGGGTCGGCGGCAGGGGGCGGAGCCCTTACAATATATACTGGTTACATACCTTCAAAACATTTCATAAGACAACCTCTGGCCCATTCGATTCAAATCCATTCATTCCTATGGAACTCTAATGAAACAGTTGCAGTTGCATCAAAACCATGTAGGCAATTCATCCAGTCCATCGATCGATCTTGACCAGCTAGGCCTGAGTAGACCGTGGAGAAGGTCGTGAGGAAGAGGAAGAACACCTCATGACCGAGCCGTTTGGACCTGGAATTTCAGTGGATGACTGGATCTCGTTTATCGGAAAGTTGTCCTTCTATCTCTTTTGTGAAACCAACATATTTCGTACAGAACAAAGCTCAGTGATCGGGTGGCTCTCTCACCCAGCAGTGGACAAGCATGGGAAGACAATGAACAAAGTTACTAACAAACCAAGTCTGAGATAGAAGAACTAGCCAAAAACCTGAACCAGCACCAAAAACTATTTTACTTCGAGTGATCCCCACCATGGCATTATATTCTGCTGCTGATAGCCGACGGCATGTTGTTTCAGCATCCCCAAGAACGTGTCTATTCTTGCATATATATATATATATATCCATGTATACATACATATATACATATACATATTGTTATTGTTTATATATGTATTATTAGTTTTATATATTGGCACTCCGTCTGGCATATTTTTGCATATAGACTGGCTTTGTGTGGCATCTAACCAGGTATTCTAGCTGGCATAAAATCCCGCATTCTATCTGGCATGTTTTCTGATATATTTTTCTTGTATTAACCCTGACATTATTTTCCATCTGGCAAATTATCTGCAATGTATAAATATATATATATTTGTCATATATTGTACCATTCTATCTGTCTGGCATAAACACAGGCATTTCTTTCTATCTAGTTCAGGTCCGGTGGTGCCCTGCACTCCGGAGCTCGCAGCGAAGGAAGGCGGTGGAGTTGACAACTGTCATAAAATCTAACAACCCTCACCTGGCAAAAAAAAAATCACATAGAGCCCTGAGTTGATCGGTAGAGCCAAGTGGAGTTTGTTCGACTTTGTTCAGGATACCTGGCCAAGGGAACCCGTGTCTAAACCAAAGACTTAAGTTGATGTCTCTGGCACTGTAGACTGTGGACTCTTCTGTGACCGGTCTTCCCCCAGTCATCCGTACGATCAGCTGAGAAACGCCATACGATCCACTGAAGTGGGCCTTGATCTCCCCATGTTGCTCGATCGCCTTGACCTTCTTGGCGTGTGCCACTTTGGCGATCACCAAGAGCATGGAGAAGTAGACCCCCACCAAGACGTACCTGGCTTTCGGATGGGTTCCTTCGAAGTTGAAGGGATGGGACCTGTTCCTTGGGTTCAGACGCTCCATTCTGGGCCCAACGAGGTTCCGATCAACCGACCCAACGATTTTGAACAGTGGGTTCGTTGGCTCAGCTGCGAGGTAAATCGTTCTCATGAGGATCCACAGACCTTAGGATTGGATCACAACTGTTCTCATTCGTCCGACAGGCTTGGTCTTCAGACAGGGATCACCTGCCCTTGCCGGCCCTTTGGAGATGCAGCTTCATTCTCTGGATCGTCAGGCATTGGGAGAAAAGCGTAGCCCTGAAGATCTTGCAGCTAAGAGCTCTGACCCACATGAGGATTCTGAGGGATGAAAAACATCTGCTTAGATCTGCTTACAGGCTTAGAATATCTTGCAGTATGATCTTTTCTGTCCACCATGACTCACTATGACCATTTGATCCCATGTGCCCAATGTCAAGTCAGATCATCCCTCACACGAGAGAGGAAGTCAAAGCTTGCAGTTGCACCGTCCAAGGTACAGCAAGACATTTGCGCTCTGACTTTCATCTTCCGCTCTCGCAACCACCGCCATGGCTGCTTCAGTCCAGCCGATGCAGCTGCAGTTCAGCCGATACATGTCGGAATGTCCTTCATTGACTGAATAGGAATCCAATGCGTTTGCTGGAACTCCTCACTTGGGGTTGTGTCACTGCCCTCTGGTCACTCGAAGAAAGGGAGAGAGAGCGCAAACACAAGTGGAGACAAATAGAGAAACAGTTTTCACCAATTTCACCAAATTTCCTGCCGCAGCAGAGAGGCCCCAAAAAAGCCGAGCTGTTCTTTCGGGACACGCTTTCGGGACACGGAGTGTTGATTCACTCACAAAACATCATCAACATTTGTGAATGTCAGGGTGTTCAACCAGCTGTTCAAAAGGCATTACCAACATTAAGTAAATGTCTAACATGGAGTGTTTCTTCCGTGTCCATTTTGCTCCGAACACCGTGTTGTTTCGGATGTCGGCCACACACCTTGTGAACAAACGGGTGTTTTGGCCGACATGGCAAAGGGTAGAAGTAGCAAGTGGATAACTAGGTTGGAGGCCATCGCAAAAACACCCACTGTACCACGTCAGATGTCGCAGTGGGGCAGCGGTCACCGTCAAAAACCCAGCCTGCAGCGCCAGAAGCAGATCGTCCACCATCTGCGCATCCAATTCGTCACCCAAATCCACCTGCAAATGGTGGGTGTGGTATGCTGTGGTCTGATGATGATCAGGATGGGCCAGGAAGGGACCTGATAGCCTAGCTTCACCTGGTCCTCCACGTAGGTGCTGTCACCGACGGCCCCCACAAGGGATCCAGGGTACAGAGTCTTACTTCTAGGCTCGGCACCGCAGCATCTGCGCTTCTCTCTTTTTAACAAGGCCAGTGGTCCACCTGCCCTACATCTCTGTCATTGCGTTGCATGTCACATCATGTCACCCCAGCACATGAATTGCCTTTCTATCCTCGCCAGGAGGATGATGACTATTCTAACGACTGTCAGCAAGTTACTGTGACATTGCCAATTCATCCTTCTTGGAAAGCTTCAGCATTCCCTCAGCTGAGCACAATTAGGAAAGGTGCTCCTCCAAAATTAATGCATGCAAACACAAAGCCAACTTAACACAAACCCTGCCTGTTTAGAAACTATACTGTAAATGAAACGAATACCAAGTTGTGCTATCTACTGCCGTAGTTCTGAACTGTAAACATCCAATCCCTCCAGTACAGAGCAGCCTCCGGAACCCCCTGAGTTTCTTGTCTGGAGGTCATTCGAGGCCATTGCCTCTCTACCCACCCTATAGCTGGAAACTACACTCTTGCCTCAAATTCCCAGTCCGACCGTCCGACTCTTCAGTAAGTCTTGTCGTTATTCTCCAGTCACAAGCCACCATCGCAGTCAAACTCCTATATAATCCAAACCCGGCCAGGCCTGGCTGTAGCCCTAAAGACCCAACCAATCCCAATCACCTCAACCACGCGCGTCATGCCGCGTCAGCCCGCGTCGTCAACCTCACGTGGTCGCCTCGCTCCGTGGTCGCATCGCACCTGGACCCGATGGCGCGCGGGATGGTGGGGATCCTGAAAGTCGTGCAGCCGCAGCTCTTGCCTCGGTGAGACGAGGGTCGACCTGAAGGGGGGTGGAGACCTGACCTTCCTGAGAGCCGTCGACGGTGAGCCGTCTAAGCGGTGGCATTAGGTCGACAGACTGGAAACAGCGATTTCTGATTGTGACGGTCACCATCGACCTATTGAAGCGACTTGAGGGTAGTATACGGGTCGCTGTTCGACCTGCAAGAGGCTTGTGGATGTTCGAGCGTCACCAGCTGGCGTACAAACTGCAAACAGTAGGATATTCTCAAATCTAAATGGTAGGATTTGATCCATGAGCTGTATGGCTGAAGTACCTCACTTCGTTGGATGCTGGAGATCCCTGGCCTCTCACCAAGATGGGCAGGAAATAGCAGGAAGACTGTTCAAGCTGCAATCTTTTGTAAGCCAAAATTACAGCATCTGTGATCCCAAGGTCACCTTTCTCTCTCTCTCTCGAGCACCATGCCATACCCATTTGTGGTCACCCTCCAAGGTCCCGACTTCTTCGTCACCTGAAGTGCGCATGAAGGTAGTATGGGGTCAAACAAACGTTTCACCACACTCCATGTTCGACCAACAGAATGTGTTTTGCGAACGGACCTGGCTTGATCTCTTCCGTTGTAGCGAGTCATGACTGCAAAATGGGCCCAAAGGCATCACAAATTGACAAAAGCTGCATGCAAAAGGTTTGTGTTCCTTTAAATTTTGCCTAGTCTATTGATGAGAAACACACCCCAACGAGCCACATCTTCCACAAAGAGATCCAGCTGAAGGCTATTCCACCCGATCAGCTCGAAGGACTCCAACTTCTCCTGGCGAGATGAACCACAGCGCTGAAGTTTTGCGCCGCCACCTGTCTCCATGGCTGCAGTTTGCGAAATTGAAAAACAGGAAACGAACACACGGGAAAGGGGATGAAAAAGCGAAAACAGAAAGCAATTACACCTGGGGCGGCCATGATTGCACTGGTTGCTAAAGCATGTCCTTTTTTTTGATTGCAAACCTGTCAGATTACCTGGAATTGTGGAGTGCTCAACGGAAACGCGGTCAAAGAACGGTGCGAAGTTCCTTCCAAATCTTTCCTGTAGAAAACATGGTAAACCGGTGAAACCGCAATGCGAACAACAGCCCTCCACCCACTTCATCCAGCACCAAGCCCTCCTCCTTGAGCCAGTTTAATGCTGTCATAAGCAAGGGCGATCCGAGCTCCAAGCGAAGCGTCGGCATGGCAGCTAGGTGGCTTGGATCGATGTTCACGGGGACCTCGTCCCATTGGTTCCACTTAGCAGCTACGCCATGATCATCCGGAACAGTGGGTTCGTTTCGAGAGTTTGTTGCGTGCAATAACAACTAAGCCCAACCTGGACCTATAGTCCAGCACTCCAAAGAACACTCTGTCCATCACTGCTCTTCTGTGAGCCTGGGAGCTGTGCCAAGACATCTACAAACCAGGTTTTTCTCCCATCACCTAGACCTATCCCCTTGGAATCACTGAGTTGTCTGCTTTCGGTCTTTTTGCTTCATCTCAGGTGGCTTCTTCTCGACTTCCATTAGTTCTGGTCTCATCGTGCCCGCAGACTGAGCCCAAGAGCAGCTTCAGTGACCCAACTGTTGGGGGATGATATGGGATGATATCCGGATATCCCTATCAATTCGGATCACCCATCACCCCCTGGTAGTACAAACAACCATCAGTACCATCAGTCGACCCAGTGGTGGGAGCTTCTCTGTTCCAAGACGTGTACAACCTGAGCAGGTGAACCGTTCTGCAATACATGCTAAATCACATTCTGACAAACATTGTTCATCCGTGCATTCAACATTAATGTCCTGTCAGCACAGTGGTTGAAAACATGTTCCCGAACTTGAACTGATCAAAGAAGCACATGCACGTGCTCTCCTGGAGAAATATTCCCGTTCGAGTTCGAGTGGTTAAATGTTTTATAATGTGCTATAGTATGTTTTAATGAACAACACTGACAACACCCCCGAAAACCCCAATTTGATGGTGGTGACACATGTGACACATCACTCAGGGTACCCACTGAAATGGAAATTCGACCACATCAGTGGTGTTTTCACCTATCAATCTCATGGTACTCTGGATGCTTCCCAAATAACGAAGTAAAATCAACCCCCGTACTCCAGGCGCACTGACACCACCCGCGACCCGCGACCCTGCTGACCTGATCGATGGCATGGTAGTAGTCCTAAGGAGGCGGGACGGTTTTGGCACAAAGAACTCTGGGAAGGCCTACAAAAGTGCCGGTTCTAATTTTAGTATCTTCTAAACGGAACGAGACTCCCTCAGGCCCACAAAGACTAGCCTTTTTGGGCGCGGTTGCTGAAATGACTGAAGGTCTCAGCCCGCTATTTACCTCATTCGGTTTTTGGGACTCAAAACAGGGCTGCCAAATGTGCTGCCGGATTCGATGAGATCCATCTTAGGCTTGGTCTCAACGTCGCGGCCGAAGAGGGAACTCCCAAAACAGCACCACCCAGCCCTGCTACCCTCCGCTCAGCGGCGTATTCAGCGACTCTGGCTTGCTTGCTCAGGATGGTCGCCTGCAGAAGCACGCTGGTGGGTTCAAGCAACCCGTTCATACAAAAATTTTGGTAATTATTCATCATCGCAAACTGCATGGGTCTGTCTGAAGAGTAAGGGGAAGCATCTGCTAGTACAAGCCATCTGATTCGAGCTGTTGCGCCAAGCGTCACGGTGAATGGTTTAAGAATCGCCCAAAAGCACGACCTTCACAGTGGTTCCAGGTGTAGACCATAGACGTTTCTCTCTTCACACTGAAGTGTGGTTTGAGATGAATCTTAATCTTTGGAAAATCTTGGTTTTAATTTAATGCCCTATCGCTGGGATTAATCTCAACATACCTCAACCATCAAACCACCGCTAACCATCACCGCCGCTCCCAGAGAGCCCCACGTTTTCCATCCAGCGCCTACAGGGCCTACAGCCACACTCGCGTGGGCGGTGCCTGCTGCGCCAACTTGAGTCTCTCCGGCGTCTTCATGGACACGGCCTGCAGGCAGTCCTGCCAGTCGAAGTCGGGCGGATGGATGCAGAGGGCGCGCGGGGGATCCATGAAGATCAAATCAGTCCACGCAGCAAAGCTGCAAAGCTGCTCTGTGTAGAGAAGAACGCCCAAAGCCAGGCTGGGAGCATTGGACATCGAAACAAAACAACATGAACTTACTAGTTAGGCTACAAGGCAGGAACTTTGGACCAACAGGCGATGCCCTTCGCCACATTTCCAGGATCTATAATTACCATGCACTGCACTGATGTTTTCTTTGCGCAGCTAGCACAGTCTCCCTCTACATAAGTCTACGATCTTCAACGCACCTGTGAAGTGCTTTCGGCTTCCACGCAGCGCGATCCATATCTGGGCAGCGCAACATGTCACTGACATTTGGTGTCTAAATCCGGAACCCCCAAACGAGACGAGGCATCCCCAAGTTGACTACCAAAGGACGTACGTGGGGTTTGATCTAGAATCTAGATCATTGGGAGGCGCAAGTCCCAGTACTGCTGCCAAACAGTGTGTCTTCAGTTGAAAAATAATCAAGATCCAAGAGCGGGGCTACGCCACCGAGCAAAAAGAACACCGCATGCACCTGGCGATGACCGAGAGATGGGCATCCCGGCCTTCTGGCCGACTTGTCATGGGCTTTCTTTTTGTCCTGCCAAGGGATGACCAGGAGCTTGCTTCGACAGCCCCGACTCTCACCACGAGCTTGCTAGCTTCGACTCGAAAAAAGCGACAGATCTGACCACGGACTAGGTGAGGAAAACCGGGTCCATCTTTGAATGGGCTCTTCTAGTGCGTGGTCAGATCCGAATGGACTCTTTAAATGGGTTCTTGCATGTTCTCGAAGACCAACTGACAGCAGGGCCACAACTGAAACGGGAAGATGATGCCGCTGGAAGTCCACACTGGTGAGGCACGGGGGGCTCGGTTTTCCCTGACAGTGATGGTCAGTCTGGTCTTCCTACTTTGTCAGAATATGTCAGAATATATGCTAGAAGAACAACAAACATGCACATCATGCACACTCATTATGAGTTTGCTGCATTGGTGCATGGGTAGGCGGGTGAGTCTGTTGTTGTTTCCGGGACTGGACGACCCGGCAAGCAACTGCCAGCTACGCAGGTCGCCTGCAAGTGCTTCAGCAGCAGCTGGACGTCTGAGTAGATTCGTTTCGACACCTCCAACGTGTTGGCTGAAAGGCGCAATGGAGAATCTTCCAAGATACTGTACCAACAAAGTGCACATGTCGGATCATTCCTGTTTGATGATAGAGTAGAAGCCTGCTTGGAAGCCCACTATTTGAATAGACTATTAATTGACTTAATGTGGATAATCTTAACCCCTTTCAAAAGGTCGCAGTGCCTTGAACACTAGATCCACCACGGTATCAGGTCACACGCGCGACGAGTTTGGCACTTCCTACATCGTCCTACATCTGGTGCTAACCATACGCTTCACACACCCTTACTACTTACTACAGTCTTGCTCCAGAAAGCATATGTAGGGGGTGTTTTCAGGAGGGCCTTTCCCACCTCATCACCTGGTCTTGCATCTTGACCCGTCTGGTCTCGTAAGCCCGCAGCTCGGCACCTCGTTGTGTTGCTTGATCACGCACTCGAAGCTGACGATGATGTCCTGCTCCAACCTCACCGCCAAATGGTCGTCACGCACCGCCGCTAGGGCCCATACTGCACGCCAGACTTGCAGTTACCCAGACATTGGCACGCCAACAGTATGAGATGGTTTTGACACCTGTACATCAATGTGTGACGTGTCCTGAAGGCTGTTTTTTTGCAGGCACAAATACCATACCCTCTCGTCCCCTCTCAACCAGCTCCTTTGCCGAGTTCCTTTCCGTCCGAGCCATGCCCATGCACCGGTTGTGTCGTGCGCCCAGCCGCTCGTCGGCCAGGGCGATGGATTGCTCTCCCCGATTCCGGAAGTTCACCTCGGAGGATGCCGCCCTTCTTCATACCAGGATCAGGGTGAACGGGTCGGAGAGAACATGATCCCCGTTCTACAGTATGGTCACTGTAAGGGTGTGCCTGGTTTAAAACCAGGTAGTCAACCCCTGAGCGGCAGCAAATTCGGGGATGCCAACAAGGGTACATTTGTGAAAGAAAGTGGGTTCCCAGAAAATCCCGTCTGTGAATGATGTCTAACTAGGCTCAACCTTGCCATCCCCCAAAATAGAACTGAGGACTTTGAACCCAACAACTTATGCATTCTAGTGAACCTTCCTGAGCACCCCTAGAGTTGAATGATGTGTTTTGTTTGTTTGTTTGTTCGTTCGTTCGTTTGTTTGTTTGTTTGTTGAACACTTCTGCAGAACATGTCAAGCTGAAGCGGCGGGGGCGACCTTTCAAAGCAAAGCAAAAAGAACGGACAAACTGGTTGAAAAGGCGTAGGGCCAACGTTCCAGCCCCTTGTCAGGTGCAAAAGCCTCAATGAATATGTATCTCCAGCAGCGTGCGCAAACTTGAGGCCACAAAGAATTTTTAGAAACTAAACAAACCAAAGAAACACAAACAGTGCATGAACAACCGGGCAGTCTAAAGGTTTCAAATCTATCATATATAACATAGTAGGGCTATTTGTTAACGTTTTTTAGGCCTGCATTGACTCGGCATTCTTCCTCCAAACAATTGAGGCTGTACACCGTAGAAGGTCTAGAAGAAAAGCTCGTTGGTTTTGACCGTCCCTCTGCGGCACGGCGGTGGCAGGATTGATAAGGACAGCTTCATGCCGGGATTCATGCCACCTTCAATGGTTTTTTCCTTCGGACTTGGTCTTGAGCTTGTCGTGTGAGAGCTCGCGAACAGCCTCATATGCTAGGTCTTTTCAGACCACGGAGATGCTTGTCGTGTCGCCACTGAACAAGTGCAGCCCTCCGAGCGAGGAACAGCGGTCCATGGTGAGGGTCTCCGTCCGTTGCGCTGCGCTGGAGTGTGGAGCGTTTGGATCCGCCACGGCTCCCAGCCAATGGCCAAGCGGGGTAGCAAGATGTAGACGGCACATCTTGAAACCGAATGACTGGAGTCATGGTGCTGGAACTAGATATTCTTTCATATACTTATGTTATGATAATCATCGGCTCATCCTTTTGGCTTTTTCGGTGGAACATCTGCCAAAGCTGCGTTGCTTGAGGGCCACGCAGGTTAAACCTCCTAGTGCGGTCCAGGCACGATCATCGCCTCCCGAGCGGCATGCAACGAGTTTCCTGAAGAGTGCCGGTGCTGTGCTGTGCGCGAAACACGGACCGCACCGGTACTTGTCACATCCGGTTCCACTGGAAGGATTGAATCGACATGTTCCATCATTTTCCACTATCATGTACCATCCACTACCTACATATATATATATATATAATATACCTGGACCATCCATTGGGTCTCCAATGGGTCTTTTCGCTACCCTACACTGGGTCTCCATGAAAATCTCAATTGGACCACCCATTGGGATGATCCTGGTCTATGATCCTGGTCTGCCTGTTCTTTGCAACCAAACCTGTTCTTTGCAAGCCACAACGTTTGATGATCTTGACTGAAGACCGACGATGGCACGGAGCCTGGGAACGCACACGGGTTCCAAAGCAAAGCACTACACTGAGACAACAGGTGACCTTCGTAAGAGCTACCTGTCCTTGCAAATCTTCCCCCTCGAAGAAAGCTCCTCCGCCTACCCTCCTGCTGACAACCTGCTGGAAGACCTGAAAAGTAGGTGCAGGAGCTGCATGACTTGCAAATCCCTTCTTCCTCCCCTGGATGCTTGATCTCTTTTGGGCTCCATTCAAGCTCCACTTCCCGAAGACGCCTTTTGTCCCTCCAACGCCCTCTGTCCTGGCTCTGGGTTGAAGGTCTCCCCAAGGCCCAGCAGGCTCTCGCCGTACTTCCGCTCCAAATCTGCACGCGCCTTCAGAACATCACACAGCTTCTGAAGCTGTCCTGCAGGCACCGCGGCACCGCGACCGGCGCCGCGATCCGATCGCGGCACCGAGGCGTCGCGACGGAGAAGGTTTTTTTCTCAGCGCATGGAAGCACCTCTATGATGGAACTCAAAGGGAACATAGGGAACTGCAATTCATCAGCAATTTCTCTACACATGACCCACTGTAAATTAGTCGCTTGGTCATAATAGTCCCCTGTCCGAAAGATGCTCTCAAGATCCTTTGCCAATTGTCGGGCCATCTGCCTATATTAGTTTTACAAACAAGAATGAAGCCGGGAAACATGTTCCGACTGTCCTGGTTGGTGGTTTCAACTCACTTGAAACATGTTCAACGGGTTCAATCATCCCCATATATCCCAATGTAAAAGTAGAAAAGTTGAAGTCTCTGAAACCACATGTCATGTCTCCACCCAGCGAGGGTCCCATGACATCCAACAAATACCACGGTGGAGTGTGCTACCGACCAAGCCATGTAACGACTAATCCATGCTACCGACCGACCCTTTGCTTCCAATCCGCAAGGCCTTGAGATGGTTCAACCCTTTGCTTCCACACAAAGTCAAACCTCAGCGACACTGTCAGTGGCTGATGCCTACATGCAAGGGAATGCCAATTGAGGTTTTCCATGGTGTTCCTAAATCTTCAAAAACATGTGTCCGAAGCTTTGCCGGCGACTGATTTGCTTTGCGTTGGATCCATCTTTGATGGACAGCGACAATGTACATAATAATGGTCAACATCGTACCACGATGTCCCCATGAAAGTCTTCGTGTGCGACCGTTCTCAGTGCTCGATCGCTCCAATCGAAGCGCGCAAAGGCCTCCGTCGCCCGTTTGGGCATCCCGACCGGTCCCAAAGGGCCTTCTGGAAGGTCAGCGGACCCTCCACCACCTCGACGGACCACATGGTCTGTGTAACACATGGTCCGTGCTGCGGTCAAATGACTTGATCTGGTGGCCATGTACTACTTAGATCCAGGTGGCCGGCCCCTGTCAAGGGTTTACCACCGGAAAAACACGATCCCTGGCCTCGACATTTGTGCTTTCTGCAGCCGGGCTCCCACCCACCTGGCTCCAGCGAAACGATCCATTTCGGGCCACTGGGGCGACTTGGGCCTGTTGCCCCGGTGTCGCCATTGGCTTTCTCGAAGAACAAGTCTCCACTGTGCTTGTCTCCAAACGAGTGTGTCTATCATGGGTCTCGATGATGAGCACGCACAGTGGTCGTATGGCAAAGGACATATCGACGCTCGAACCATTTCGGGAAATGAACCCAATTCAATTAGAAGGTTCTGCTGGTACACAACTCAACAGAGTTAGAATAACTCAGAATAACAGTTTATTAATATAGTCATTTGATGGTTTTTGTGTATCTTCATGTGACTCGAGATGCATCTATTCCATGTGAAGCCGGGAAGTCCCTTCCGCCTTCTTCCATGGCCATTCCGCCCCAGAGGTCAACTCCGGGGCAGGGACAAGACGCTCCTGCCGCTCCGAGCAGTAGAATGGTGCTGGACAAACTGTCCAAACATTCTTGGCTTCAAAAGAACATGTCTCCCTGCGGCAAATGTCTGGAACGACATTAATATGTGTCTTCGTTCATATCTAAACATGTATGAAGTAGGAAGGATCCCGCAACTGTCTCCCACAGTGCAAGGTCAAACGACTTGTGTTCCACAAAATGAACCAAAATGATCCCATCGAAGTGTCCTTCAAGGCCTGGAGGCCTCTTTGGTGTCAAGCCCCCGCCTGCGGCAGGGATGTGGTCGTCTCCTCTTTGGGATCAACCTTTTCAACCGGCACCTGAGCGTGGCAATCAATTGGTCCACTCCCAGCCATTGAGTTGAAGTAGCAATGATAAACTAAACTATTTGGATTGCCTTCTCAAATAAGGATCTTTTCGTTGGTGGCCACTGATGGATGGCGCAACTCTAAGTCGTCAACTCCCCTCCTGCATCCCACTTCACAGGACATCTTTGGCTTCCTTCATGCACGGGATGCTGAGCTGCGGACAATTTACCTATCACCCCAGTCACCCCTCAGCAGCTAGATCCATTAAATGCCATGGACTCCTGTTAAGATAGCCTTCTCAGGAACTCCGTTCTACAAAGCCCGGACCTGTCTGAGCATTGGAAAACTGAGGCGCACACCGCGGGCTCTTCTGCCATCTTCACACAAGCCGACGATTGGTGGAAAGCAAGCAAAAACCAGGTGCAGGTGTGGCTGGGCTGAGGGTGTTTGAGGGTACCCCACCAAAGATCCAGGTAATCTTGTCAAGGTACTTTGTGCGTGCAACTGCGTACTTCTTCTAGAAAAAGGGGACAAACCAATGGACTGCATTGCTTGTGTGTCGAAGTGTTTCCTGTTGCAACCTGATTGCATGCACATTGCTGGCTGTCCAATGGTAGCTCTGCTCTTATATAATCATATCGAAACAATGATACGGATTTCGCTTGAACGAGCACACACTTGAATTTGATCGATGGAACGTGACTCTAGCTGTCCTCCTGCTTCCAATCTCACTGGTTCACGCGGTTTATTTGCAATGGTGTAAAGTGTAAGCCTCTCGGTCTTGAGCAAAATGAAAATGGGCAGAGCCGCCAGCGACTGGTGCATGCCAAAACGCAAAAAAACAAACATGAGCTGCGAACATCCTCGCACGGGTGGGAGAGTGCAAGGACTATGACCAATAATGAAATCAATAAGTTGATAATAGTAGACCCTGGCCAGTTCGCTCGTACTTGACAGCCTGCATCCTACTTGGATAATCATCGAAGCCTCATCGAAGCCAACATTAAAAGGCAAACAACTCATTGCCGATTGGAGTGTGTACTGAAAGGAAATTGACTCAACCATGGCCTATATGATAATATATATATATTATTATATTATATTGTATCATATGGGTGTTGTCCTTTATTCAGTTGCAGGGCATAAGGCTGAAAAGCCCTTGCGCTCGCCCTTGCGCCTTCTTGCGCCTATGAGGGTTTTTGCATGTTTTGACTGTTCTATTTGTTTTAATATTAGCAAGAAAACGTGGCGCGCCCGACCTGGAAATGAGAAAAGTAGTAGTAGTAGTAGCAGTAGCAGTAGCAGTAGCAGTAGTAGTAGGAGCAGGAGGAAGAGTAGGAGTAGGAGTAGTAGTAGTAGTAGTAGTCGTCGTCGTAGTAGTAGTCGTAGTAGTAGTAGTAGTGATAGTAGTAGTAGTAGTAGTAGTAGTAGTAGTAGTAGTAGTGGTAGTAGTAGTAGTAGTAGTGGTAGTGGTAGTGGTAGTGGTAGTCGTAGTAGTAGTAGTAGAAGTAGCAGTAGTAGTAGTAGTATTGGTACTACTAGTAGTAGTACTAGTAGTGATATTAGTAGCGGTAGCAGCAGCAGTAGCGGTAGTAGTAGCAGCAGCAGCAGCAGTAGTAGTCCTAGTAGTAGTGGTTGAGGTTGTAGTAGTAGTTGTAGTAGTATTAGTGGTAGTAGTCGTAATAGTACTAGTAGTATTCGTAGTGGTGGTAGTAGTAGTAGTAGGAGGAGTGGGAGTGGGAGTAGTAGTAGTAGTAGCAGTAGTAGTAGTATTGCTACTAGTAGTAGTAGTAGTCGTAGTCGTAGTAGTAGTAGTAGTAATAGTACTAGTACTGATACTAGTAGCAGTAGCAGCAGCAGAAGAAGTAGCGGTAGTAGTTGTAGCTGCAGCAGTAGTAGTACTAGTAGTAGCGTTAGTAGTAGTAGTAGTAGTAGTAGTAGTAGTAGTAGTAGTAGTAGTA